AAAACCTAACGTCTCCCATATCACACCCCCCCGTAAAGCATCCCACCTGCCATCCCACCTGCCCAGACCCGTAGCTGCCGAACTCTCCCCTCCCCCTGGCCCTCAACTCCCAGAGGAATGGGAATGCACCATTGACGACAAATCCTACACTGTGGTGGTTTCCATGAAATCAAACCCAATCTGCTTCTGATGCAGAGAGAGAGGCCATCAGGGAACTGACCCGAGATGCCCCCGTTCACCCGACCACACGAGAGGAAAAAATTCAGATAGAACATGCTGGCCGAGGTCGAAGAAGCCAAAGGCATTTGGTTCGTCAACGACCTAGAATATGATGGCTGGGTCTTTGGCGATACCATTAGGACCCCATGTGGATCTGGACATACAGTCACACGAGACCAGCAACCAAACAGCCAGATATCTACCTCCCATCAGACAGCAAATGGCATGCGGTAGGAGCCAAAAAAGTCACTGGCGTGCCACGGAAATTCCACTCCGACCTAGTGGTCGACCCCCGAGCGATTCAGGAAGAGAAAAAACACGAAGACCTCTTGTGGGATCTGGAATAAATCCAGCATCAAACCCCTGAATTATTCCAGAACCCAGAAGACGACGGCGAGCATCTCCAAAAAGCAAGACAGATCATAGAAGAACGGTATCCCAAATCTGAAGCTGCCCTCAAAAGACAAGCCTCCCCCCAAAAAGAACTCACAGACAACACGTCACAACAGGGTAGGCAAGAAGAAGAAACGCGAAACAGATCATCCAGTGGAGGAAGATCTCCACTCAGACCAACCAACAGGCATTCCCCTCACAGACGGAACCTTCAAGATCTCAGATCTCGGAAATTTGGCATGAATGGACATCTCCCCCAAGAAGAACGACCCAAACGGCAAAGCCAAACAACAAGGCACATCCCCCATCCTATTGCTGAGAGAATATCTAGAGAAATCCAAGTACGAAAGGGAGAAAGAATTCGACATCCGAGTGGCCTGTTTGAAACACATGGAGAAAACATGCAAATTCGTTACAGGCAAATCTGTTGTGGCAGGCATCCCACAGTCCAACAACTCGTTTGATCTGCTCCTGCGGCAAAAGAGCTAATTGTCAGAATTCAGCACTTTCAGATATTATGAGAAGAAGAGGGAAAGGGAAGCAAGCTCCTCATATTCGGACTCGGGACATGAAACACAGACAGCGAGAGACTCAATAAGAGGCATGGCCCTGAAGAACTGGAAACCGTCCAAGGGCAAGGAAAAGAAACTGAGGAAACCGTCGAATGACACCAAAGGTCAAAAAAGTGAACAGAGGCAAATCACACAAGAAAAAGTTGCTGAGAACACAACCCCTGCCGTCACTGAGACAGCGAGGACAGACAGGAAAGCCATCAAACCCTTAACGAATCCATGACAAAGCACTTCTTCGCAAAAATCGAAGCCAACGCCAGAAATAACAACATTGAATGGTTGAAGGACCCGAACAATCAGAACAGGGTCGGCCAATCAGGTTCGGGAATGGTGAAAATAGCCAGATCGTTCTACGCACAGCTCTACGAATCCAAAATACCTTCCCCCCTCCCCTCAGCCAACTCAACAGCACAACAGCAAATGATGACCTACCTGGAGAAGGCAATCACACCAGAACAGACCAAGGGGCTGGACAGACCACTCTCGTTGGGGAAACTATACACAACCCTGACTCAAATGGGTAACGATAAAGCCCCGGGCATTAATGGACTGTCAAAAGAATTCTGGGTCCATTTTTGGCCCATACTAGGCGTGGACCTTCTCGTTTTTTTCAATGACAGCAGAGGCCAAGGAGGACTAGGCCAAAATCTAAGTACAAGTGTAGTATCGTTACTCCACAAAAAAGGCGAGACAAAGGATTTGAAAAACTACAGACCCATCTCACTACTCGCAACCCCCTACAAAATCCTAGCGAAAGCACTAGCCAACAGGATCATAAATCTGACAGGCACATCGACCAAGCAGGCTTCATTCCAGGCCGATACGACAATGTGATAACTCTGAATGAGGCGGCCAAAAAGATAACCGAAGAAAGGATGAAAGCAGCGATCCTTTTCGACTTTGAAAAGGCCTACGACCAAGTCAACTAGGAGTTCCTTCACGCTTGCATGGAAAAAATGGGGATTGGCCCGAATTTCAGGGAGTGGGTTAAAGTATTGTACGTCGACGCAACCGGTAGAGTGCAGGTCAATAGGATCCTATCGAAAACCTACCCCATCTCCAGATCCGTACGACAAGGAGACCCCCTAGCTCCACCCATTTTACTCTTCATTATGGAAGCCATAGCATCCTTCCTCCGCAAAGATCCAACCATAGACCAGCTCACCGAACGGAA